TGGCAAATGAGTCCTGGGGCTGTCTGCTGAACGATTCAAGATAAAATACTGAATAGTTTCTTATTACCCGAGTACCACTGTGCCTTGGATGAGTCAAGGATCTCATAGATGAAAATTAAAGCTTCTCAGTGCATGTTTACTATGGAGTTACTTTAAGTTTATAAAGGCAACCTTACTTTTAGGATTTCCTAACTCTTAGCTGCTTGGCTTTTCAATCATTATGCTCTGTTAATGTGTATTGTGGGGTGGTTGTTTTTTTGGAGGGGAGGGGGTGTTGTGATCTTCTCATTTTAAGTGCCAAACTTCGTTCGAAGAAAAAACAAACAAACCATCTTTGTGGTAAATTTTGCTGCCAATGTGAAATTAGTTGAAAGACTACCTGTATCCGTGTAGAGAAGTGCAGGAAGGCTCTTGTGATTGCATTGTAACTTAAATTTTACATAAAGTGCCAAAAGTTACAGCGGGATAGAACATAATGACTGTTTAGCATATGGTGGGGAGTTAAGGGGGGGCGCCCTTGGAGCCTCCCTGCCCTGATTAGGAGGCAGGGAGTGCTGCTGCATGCAGAGACATGGGGCAGAAAATTTTCCAGTGCTTTATTTTTCCATGGAAAATTTTCCATTTCTAAAAATTAATTGTTCCATAAAATTCTTTAATAACAATAAATGGATGCCGATACAATATTAGGCAAACTTGGCAGGCAGCAGAGAATGTCTCCATTCATATGGTGGAAAGGATACTGTAACACCTGACTTGTCCAGGATTGCTCTAAGAATCCTAAGCATTCCACCAACAGCAGCTTCTTGTAAATGGAACTGGAAGGCTTTCAGCTCAATCCAGATGAAAAAGAGGAATAGACTAACAAATGAACGCACTGCTAAGCTTGTTTCTATTTCTCAGAATCTTTTGCTTCTGGAGACTCAGAAGCACAATTAGTGAAGAAAATGCAGTGTGATAAGTTGCCCTTGCCTATCCTCTGACGAAAGAGAATGTGGTTAAAGTAGTTCTGAATCAGATTTGCCTCAATCTGATTCTGAAATGCAACTAACAAGTAGTGCAAGTGATTCTACGGATAGTGACAGTGAAACTGGAGGTGCCGCTATCACCTGTGGAAGAGAGTGAAGCTCTATTGAAGTAGATGAATGGACAACCACAGCATATCATGTACAGTTCTTTGGGTGTGTTCAAGTTAGTGTGCCAACAGTTTTCAGTGCCTTCATGGTTTTTGTCAAATTTTAAACAATGTAAAGGAAGTGCATCCTATTGTGTATTGTCTTTATATTTTTACAAGTATTCCAATAAAAATAATTTATTTCCATGTAAAGCTTTGAATTTGTTTGAATATAACATTTAAACCACATTAAGTGTCCTATATTTAATATTTTTCCTAATCATATATTTCAGTTCAAATACTTGGGGCTATTGGGACATAAAATTAACATGGGAGTACTTTTTTAGTTTTGTTTTCCAAATATAAATCAAATAAACATGCTAAATCAGATCACGCTCTATTTAGGGCATTGGAAAATTTTCAAATTCCAAATTTTCCAGAAAACCCACATCTCTGGCTGCATGCCACTCGGTGTGCTCTGCCGGTTCTGGAGACTGCTGTGAGCAGCTAAAGGGGCTAGCCCAGGGGTGGGCAAAATACAGCTCTTAGGCTGGATCCAGCCTGCCACTTGATTGTATCCAGTCTATGGCTGCCCTGCCTGCACACATCCTGTACCTGCTGACGGCATCACACTGGCCCCAGCCAGCATACACAGCTTCCTGGTGTGGCTGCCTGCTGTTGCTGCAGCAGCTGCCTTGGGTATTGCTCAGCTTCTCCTGCTCTGCTGTGTCACTCTGGGCAACAGATAGTGTGGGAAAGTGGAGGTGACAGGTGGAAGCTGGAGCTGGGCAGCTTTGGCATTTGATACACCTACCTTTGTCTGCTTCACTGGAAGTCCAGCACATCAGAGCATATTCAATTTAATTGAGTCTGCGGAGCATGTGAACTAATGTGCCTGGCACTGCATGGCATATGTTTGTATAAATGGTGAAATGAGCGTCAGCGCGCACAAAATGGTGGCAGTGTGCTTTTGAATTAAAACACCTTTGTGTTGCTTCAGAAGTGCGCTGCTGCCATTTTCTCAGGACTGATGTGCATTTTGCTGTTTTATACAAGTGCACGTGCTGCAGCGCCGGGCGCTTTAAAAAGCGCTTGGTGCTGCAGTGCTTGCATGTGTATAAATGCCCCTCCTGCCCCAGTGCATGGGGCCAGCTCCTGGCTGCCTTCTGCCTGCATAGCATGATGAGCAGCCATCTGCAGGTGACTGAGTAGGTGGAAGCAGCAGGAGTGGCACAGCAGATGCAGGAGGAGGAGGAGCTGCTGGAGGTGGGAGGAGCCAAGTAGTACCTAGTCAGCCACTGGGAAGCTGTATGTGCTGGCTGGGGAAGTTCTGTCAGTGGATATGAGGTTGGAGCAAGGCACAGGCTGCCCTGGGCAGGAGTGGGCAGGGCTTGCTCTCACGTGGAGCGCTGTGGGCAGCCGCAGCTTGGGTGGGGCAGAATGTATTGCCTGGGCAAGCTTTCCCGCAAGCGCCTGTCTCTCTCCTCCTCCTCCCCACTCCCACCCCAACTGGCTCCTTGGACCTAGCACGTGGGAAGCCCCTACCCCCCCCCCCCCATTTGACTACTGCCCCCCCCCCACATATGTGAATCCCCCCCCCCTTCACGGACACAATATACAAGAGTAAGTCTTTATTTTGAGCTATTATGCAATCACCAGTATACACTACTAAGAAAACCATAAATCAGGACAAAAATATATTTTTTAAATCAAATGTTGAAGTAGATGTCTGATTTTTTTTTTTTAGTATACAATTTGCTTTTAATCTGTAATTTGTTAGAATGATATCTTCTGAAAGATTTTGTGCATGGCCCTTGTCAGTTTACCTTAATAATTGCCCAGCCAAGCCTGGGGCCAGTGTTGGCACTGCGCACACCCCCACAGCCTCTCATCCCAACCCTACCTCCTCCCTCTGGCTGGCTGAGAGCTCCCTGGTGAAGGGAAGGAGATCTGGGGAATACTGCTGAGAGAGATACCATCCTCCTTTACCCCTCCCCCAGGCCAGGCTGTGGCTCTTAGCTGGCCGGAGGGAGGAGGAGGGACTGGGATAAAAGGCTGTCACTCACTGCCCGAGGGCAGGGTTGGCTCAGCCCAGTGCTGAGACAGGTAGAAGAGACCAGCTCTGCCTGCCTGATCATGGGATGAGGGCAGAATTTTCCCAAAAGTAATGCTAGCTGTGAACCTGTACACAAGTTTGCTAAGGTGCTCTGCCCTAGAGCGCTTTCATCTGATAGCTCATCAGATGAGGGTTAAATTTTTGTGTGATTGACCATTTTAGAAGTGTTCTGTTGCTGTGGACATTTGTAATGTTACAATTGTAGAGCACTTTTGGGGAGCTTCATTGTGCAAAAAATGTAACTTGTACATACCTGATGAGCAATTAAAGAAAACTTGTTATTTCAGTTGAAGCCCAAGAGAAATGGTACCCTTTTAAGATCATCAGATTTTAAAATTTAGTCAATCTCTAAGAGTTTAAGTATTTTCAAGTACAAAATGTTTAAGTTTCCTCTCGTTGCTTCCCCTGCTAGAGTTGCTTGTCCCCTCCCCTCTCCCTTTTTAGTTGAGTGAAAGACTAGCCTAAACAAGATGCAGGGTAATGATCAAGCTGCCTGCAACATGCAGCACTGTCAAATGCACAAAGTAAAATATAAATGTTTTTGGTTTGTTTTTTTTCACTTGCATGAATCTTGCTCCTCAGTTTTGCTAGTTGAGCCTGCTATATGTATAGCACCTTTTGGATGTTAGTGAAAAACCATGGAGGTATATAGTAGCTGACCCTTGCATCTTTCCACAGGGTTTGTGTTAAATGACTGTAATGGCTAAAAATTGCACTTCTCTCTCTGAAGTGTGGAGTTCCTGTCTAATCTAGTACCTCCTGTTTTTGTAACGAACTAATAAACAGTTGTATCTGTAATATAATGCGATGAGTTGGATTTGGAATTTTAAATGCTATTTGTTTGGTGGTCCTTCTTATATATTAAGACAAAGTTGAAAAAATTGATTTAAACATTTGTCAAATAGTGGCAGACATGTCAAAGGCAAACAGGTAAATTTTACTATTATTCCCTTGGTGCAGGGTTTTTGGGCAGAGTGCTCAAAACGCATGCAACCTCAGCTTGTAAGATGTTGGTGTATCGGAGGCGGATAGCGGAGCATCTGTGAGGTGCATGACCCTTGTAGCAGCACAGTCTCTGCCCCTTCCACCCTGTCTGCCTCTGAGGTGTGCGTACCAAGAAAAATGTCTGCGTGACATGTTCTAGCACCTGTGCCGGGGGTTGCCTACCCCTGCTCTAGTTCTATTGTTTGTTACAAATAGGCAGCTTTAGTTGTGAATACTGCAACACAAAATCTGCTTTAAATTCATATAAACATTTTTTTTTTCCTGAAACACTTCCTGAAGTCAAGCCTGGATGGAATATTACAGATAGTGCCTATTAGCATTACAGATGCCTGTCAGCAATCTTCAACACAAGGGTTTCAGAGAGTCATTTTGGCAGTAAAAACACTGTTTATGTCAGTGTTTCTGTTTTCACTCTGATTTGGCCTTTATTAGTTATAGAAACTAGTCAAATTCTGTTATCTGTAGGCCTCCTTTGAAAAGAATGGAAAAGCAGTAGCCTAAATTTGTCCTCTGCAAACTTGAGGTGCTATGGGGAGTTAGATTTAGAAAATCTTAATCTTGAAAGTAAACAATCACTTCTTTTCTTTGGGTTCATTTTCCTGCTATCTGAATCCAGTGCTGGGAAAATACTGAAGGAAAACAAGTTTCTAGCCACATCCTTGGTAGGAGAGATGTGATTAACTTTAACACTGCCTATACTGGAATCACTGTAGAACTTTGTGTACTGTACTGATACTTGAATAACACTTTTTCTCTTGTTTTATGCAGAATCAGATTCAGTACCTCAAGCAAGTCCAGCAGCCTAGCGTTGCCCAACTGAGATCAACAATGGTGGACCCAGCCATCAACTTATTTTTCCTAAAAATGAAAGGTGAACTGGAACAGACTAAAGACAAACTGGAACAAGCCCAAAATGAACTGAGTGCCTGGAAATTTACGCCTGATAGGTAAACAAAAACAAATACTCCCCAGTCAAGACTTCCCTGACAGTCCCACTGCGAGAATGCTATGGTGGGACAGCCAAGTACTCGTTTCCACACCAAGACTCAGACGTTTTGAGCCAAAAAGCCACATTCTTATACTGTCCAGCTTGTAATGCTTAATGTAAAACTTACCAGATGAACCTTGTGTTTCAGCTTTTTTCTCCCCTTTGCTTCAGAGGCCTGATGGCATCGGACTATTCTGAAGAAGTGGCCAACTCTGAAACAAATATCTTTCTAGACCATGTAGACACTTGCAAAATGGTTCTAATTGAAGAAAATAGAGGGAGAAACAGAAGTCTAAAGTCTGTGGCATACTGTGTCTACAGACAGTGTGGAGGAGAGAGAACCTAGAGATTATAAATAATGAATTGAACATGTTAAATTCCTGTAAAATGTAGAAGTGGAATATGCTTCGCTCTTAACCTTGAGCCTAGTGACTTAGAGATACTAAGTCAGTTTTGCCAATAAGACTGGACTTCCTGCTTGTTCACTGAACTGCTGGGTCAAAACTCAGGTGAAAAAAATGAGGTGAATTTTGCATAAGAGTTTGCTAACCAGCTTTGAATAGCCATGAGAGAGTGGTATTGCATGACATCAGTGGTAGTGTACGTATTTGATTGTTTAACACTTGGGCTCTATAGCGCTTAACTTGAGCCTAAGCCAACATGATTTTAAATAATGAATTGTTCTTTGGATGATTGGTAACACTGTGGACTTCTAAAAAATTAGGACTGTACAAAAATGTAGGTCGTATCCATTGCAGGTTTTAAATTGTTTGAAGCAATAAATATATATTTGATCACAACTAGAATGTATAAGGAAACTAGTTGTGAGGAGTATTTCACTGCATGGTTCCATGCAGAAATGAAAATTTTTTGTTCTCCTAAGAATGGTCTCAAATGCTCAATATACAAGGCACTCACAATGGTAACTGTCTTCTTCAGTGTTTGTGGGATATTTTTCTTTTTGTATACATGGGTTGGGTTTTTTTTGGGAGTGGGGGTTGTATTACACTTTCTATATGAATGTGCCTTAAAATAGTTGTAAAATATAGTTCAAGGAACACTAATGGTCAAACTATGGTACTGTGAAACTGTGGGGATGAATTAGAATGGGAGAGAACTGAGTTGCCTTCCTCTCTGAAAAGAAACATATTTAAATGCATGCATCCTCCTGTGGGTGGAATCAGTTGAAGAGCTTTGCTACTCTCTTGATGCCTCTTGGTACGGTATCCCAAGTTATTTGCCAGCCCAGTAATATGGGACAGCCCAGAGTGCATGTTCAAGGTGTGTAATTATGGGGGAGAATTATGAAATTATATGGACTGGTATAGTCATTGTATATTTTTAGACTTGATTTCCACCTAGAATATTGAGGTTTCTATGACCAAATCAATTGGGCATTTATTTCATGACTCCATTGAACACTGGAAAGTTAAATGTTGTCAGATTTTACAAATGACAGCAGGTCCAACTTGTACTAAAAGTGATGCCTTATACAATAGGGAAACAATTTGTTTCATCATTTGAAATGCAATTTTATCAAGGTTAATTCAGTTTAATTAAACATTCATTCTTCAGCTCTCTTCAGTATGTTGAACCATTGAGTGTGCTTTAGGTAATTAATGCAGAAGATAGAGTAGTGTGCTTGTGTGTAGGCTTTTTACTTAAGCAGTGGATTTACCACAGGAAAAAATAAAAATTTGCCAGAGGTTCATCTCTTTAATTTTATACATATATTACATTTTTTTTGTTATGGCATTATTTAATGTTTTAACAGTATAGCATCAAATAGAGGTAAGACTTGCATAAGTAAATTGTGTTAATGTGTTACAAGCCATTTGTGTAAAAAAAA